TTATTCCTCTTTTCTCTCTTTCTCTCCTTTTTCATTTTATTATCTCATACCCTCCCTGATGCTCTTTTTACTTTCTTATTTCATCAAGCCATTTTCTTTTTCTTTCTATAGTGCAAATTTTCTACCTTAGCTTTATTCTCCCCTTTTGCTGCCCACTGCTTACAGGTTACTTTGCCCTTTTCTCCTAGTTTAAGCACTTCAAACTACTTTTCTAAGTTGCACTGTTTAGTATTCATTAGCTTTACAGAGAAGCCTCTGCTCACCATAAATGCAAACTGTATGTCACTCAAAACATTTTAATAAGTTTCTTGCCTTCTCCTACTGTCATGTGTTGTTTGGTGGACCTGATCTTGCAACCGTTACAGTCAAAGAATATTGAATTTAGTGGACACAGGAGGCTTTGTGCTTGGAAACAAACTTCTCTCCCTGTTGTATAATAAATCAGTACAAGGATTAATGTCAGCCTCTATAAAACAAACAAACAGCAACTAATTAGATTAAGCTAGTCTAGTCCTACTGTTTTAAAAAGCATTTTGCTGGCTATTACTTTGTCCACTGATTTTTTTTTAATTTTTTTTTTTAAACCCTCTACAAATAAGTGTAGGAAGCATGCTTAAAATGAAATAAACCCAGAAAAATGTCCTTTAACTTCTAGAATTACAGAAGGCAGGAAATCCCTGGCTCTTGCTGTGGAAAATGTGTGCCAACTTCGTGTAGCATCAGGCTGAGAGATGGAAGGCTTAAATACCTTCAGGTAAGTTTTAAGCACTCTTTATTTACGAGTAAGTGCGAATGTAGCACAGACTTGGGCCTTTTCTTTTTTATCTCAGAATGCAAGCATGAATATTATCAAGGAACTTTAACTGGAATACTAGCTCAAACAACTACTTAGAGGAAATTAAACCCCTCATTTTAAATGAGAAATAGATAATTTAAGTTGAAAATGGGAATTTTGACAAATTTCTCCAGCATGATAGGTTCTTAAACAGGAGTGGATATTTTTCTGGTTAAAACCCATCATCTTGTCATGAGAGATGTATGTAACTTTTTTTTTTTTTAATCCATCCCTGAGCTAAGTTTTAGATGAGAGTATGGGAAGAGCAATGAAGCTGGTGAAGGGTCTAGAGAACAAGTCTAATGAGGAGCAGCTGAGGGAACTGGGGTTGTTTAGTCTGGAGAAAAGGAGGCTGAGGGGAGACCTTATTACTCTCTACAACTACCTGAAAGGAGGTTGTAGCAAGGTGGGTCTCGGTTTGTTCTCCCAAGTCACGAGTGATAGGACAAGAGGGAACGGCCTCAAGTTGCACCAGGGGAGGTTCAGATTGGATATTAGGAAAAACTTCTTCACTGAAAGGGTTGTCAAGTATTGGAACAGGGTGCCCAGGTCAGTGGCTGAGTCACCATCCCTGGAGGTATTTAAAAGACACGTAGATGTGGTGCTTAGGGACACGGTTTAGTGGTGGACTTGGTGGTGTTAGGTTAACAGTTGGACTCAATGATCTTAAAGGTCTTTTCCAACCTAAATGATTCTATGATTCTTTGTAGGGGTGTGGTTTTACTTTTTTTTTTTTTTTTAAATGGCGTTCCCAACTCAGCTAGTAGTTAAGTATTCATATATATGTCTCTCTGAAGCACAAGTTCTAGGCCAACCTCCCCAGTATCTCACTTAGTCAAGTTTCTCTTTTAACTTAATGGAAATGTCTTCCCTGTTAAGAGCTGAAAAAGGTCAGGTTTTGGTAGTTTTGACTGAGCTGTAATCAATATGGTTGTGGAAGTAAATAGAAGGTGATGACTTTGTTGATAAACAGCTCTGTTTACTAAAGATTTCTCCATTTTATAAACTTCACCAGCATTGTACATGAATTATCAGTAAAGGAATAGTCAGGTTGTATAGTACCCTGAGAACTTACTGTCCAATGTTGTTTCTGTGTAAAGCTAACAGCCCTTAAATCTTTACAGCCGAATGAATCACTTCAGGATGGCTGTGATAGCCACTCCTGTAAAGTAAATGAGAAAGGGGAATTTATCTGGGAAAGGAGAATCACTGGCTGTCCTCCATTTGATTCCAGAAGATGTTTGGCTGAAGGAGTAAGTAGTGAATGAGTCCTGTTTCCAGGTTTCCTAATAGACTCTGTCATGTTTATGGTTCTGTATACAGCTACCTCATGTGTATTAGAGTGGGAAACCCCATCCCTCTCCCAGCACCTTGGCTAAACTGAATTTGAACTTTCTTTAAAATTCAGAAAAATGTAAGTTTTCTTTATTAAAAAGTATATGTTGGTTTTACGTGGGACTATACTGCAGGGGAGATGCTGAGCTTGCGGTAATTTTGTTCCATGTGAAGCAGCAAACATAAGAAAATGGCTGTTCTAACAATGTTTTCAGTTTGGTATCCAGAGCAAAATTGTGTGGATAATTACACAAACTGAGAAAACAGATCAGCCCCTTTTTCAGTATGAATATGCATATGAAATGCTAAGACATTTTATCTCTACCTTCATATGAGGTTAGGGAATGGAATTTTCACAGTGCTGTAGGAAGAGCTCAAACTTCCACATTTGCAGTTGTTCAGTATAATGGTGTAACAAACCCCTCACTAAACATGTCCACCCATCCTTCCTGTGATTTGCAGTTAGCCATACACTAAGGAACAGTGCAGGTTGGGGTGTAGCTCATGGGGTCCCACTCACCTGTCATCACACAGGTGTTTATATCCACCTGTCCCTGTTTTGCAAATGCAGGAAAAATAAAGCTTCTGTAGTGCATTTCTCACTTTATGAAATCACAATAGCACACACAGTTTTGTTATACAAACAAAGATTTAGAAAAATGCTGGATTACGTTATAGGCTTGGGGTTGTTATCATGTTCTAAAGGTCTGCACTGAAAATCAGTGAAGAATGGTTTACTTTTTAACCAGAGCTTCCCAAACTGTATTTATTCTCCTGACATCCAAAAAAAATGAACTATTTCCAGTCAAAAATTTTTGTTTTTCATCTAGTTACAAATGGAAAGTTTACAGTTTTTAATTAAAAAAGCCTCCAAACTTTTGAATGGGAATTCAGGCGTTTAGTGCAACAATGGCATCTCTCTGCAGTATTTCTCCATTTTTCATTTTACTATGGGTTTTCATTAATTTTCCACCATACATACACTTCTGAGTATTATTTTCTACATCATAGTGACGAAACAAGAAAAATAAAATTTTTGGATGTTAAAACTTATTTGACAGATGTGATATTTTATGATGAATTGCTTGTAGATTTTCCACTGCTCTGGAATAGGCATGCTTTTGTCTATATTGCTAAAAAAGTCAAGAGGGAATATTTAACTTCCATTCTTAAACAGGTGTAAGACTTGAATGCTATTTGTTTTATCACTCTGGTTCCCATAAATTTATTTGTATTCAATGTCTTTACGGTAGAAAGCTCCTATTATAAGGTGAAAGCAATATTTTCACGTTGAACTTGCTAATATAGTCAGTTACTTCCAATCAGCTATCAACAAATACAATCACAAGTTCAAAACCTTAAAATGAATAGAGAGATTATTACTAATGTAGATTTATATTTTTGTACAATATAGAAATACAATTTTCTCACCTCATACCCCGTTTTAAATAGCCTCTCATATTCTTCCAGCAGAACAAATATTTATTAATTGTGCCAAAATAGATTATTTATGTATTTATTTATTTAATTTTTAGGGCAGAATTGCAAAAATTGGCAGTACCTGCTGTGACACATGTAAGTAAATAAGCCAAAAAGCTTGTATGGAAATTGCAGAGAATATAAGCTACTGAGTAAGGAGCTATGTTTTGCATGCGATTCAGTTTAATGAAACAGAGCTAAGCAATGTGGTTAAAATAAACCAGCAAACAATTCTACCTTCTGATGGGGATACTGTAGTCATGTTTTGTCCACTAGAACACGTGTTTTGACAGTATTCACAAGTGCTTAGAAAGAAATAGATACTCTCCACATTTTATGCAGATGTTAATTATGAATGTTTTATTTTATTGTTCATCTAAAGATAACAGAAACAGTATTGCACACACAGGTTGACAAGTCACATAACCTGATACTGAATACGTGAGGCAATCATTTCATGAATAATCAATCAACTTAAAATGAATTTAGGAAAAAGAACTGGTGGCAGTAATGTAATTTTGATTGGTTTTTGGTAATGTAATAACCAAAAGATGGTAGAGCAAATACTTGTCAAAGGTGCATTCCTGTTGAACAGCCTGATTGCATCATAAATTCAGCAGTTTAGGAGTCTGTCCTACAACTCTTAATTTCATGTATCATTGTGTACATAATCCAAATGTCAGTCAAGCTGTGAGTGTAAGAAGGGTTTGCTTACATGAGGAAGGATTGCAGGGTTGGGTTCTCACTTCTGAGATGAATCTCTGATGCTTTTGTGAACAGACAACTTCTCAGTTTTCTCCTTTGTAAGTAAAAAAATAATAATACTGTAGCTCATTTATTAAAAAAAAAATAACAAAAGACTGATGTTCTCTTTTAAGGTCAGTATATCAACATCTTGCCTGTGTTCCATTATCTTTTTTTTTTTTTTTTAACCCCCTCTCTATGCCTGTGCTAATAAATAAAAGATGGCCAGCATAGCAGCCCATCGCCACCCTGGCACAGTAACTGCTGTAATAATACCCCTAATGAAGGACATTAGCTCTAGAGAGTTTGCAGCCATTGCCTGTCTGTGTAATCACTGAGTTACAGCTTGAGAAATAGAAGTCAGAAAGCTATTGAGATAGACTGTCATCAAATGGCTCAAACAGGTAATTTAGTTAAGAGAGCTTTTATCTACCAGGCTGCAAGTAAGGAATACTGAAAATTATTTATTAACAAAACCAGATTTTAAGATTTAAAAGGCAGGGTAGTGGGCAGGCTCTACTAATTGAGAATGCCTATCACTGCAGTTGAAGAGAGGAGAAAACCAGTTCCAAATGAGCACAGCTCAATACAGATATTTATTTAACAGTTATAGTGATTTAAAAGTGATACCTTCTTGCAGCAACAAAAGCAAACTGAGCTAAGTGAAATATCGCATGCCTAAAAGCACATATATTGTATAGGCCTTCAAATCCTTATTCCCATTGGTGTTGTCTTGGATATAGCTCAAAACTGAAAAGTCCCATATTATACCACAGTCCTATTCCTGATTGCTTCTCTGTTCAGGGCCCTTCATATGGAAAAAGTCAGTGTACTGCATCCAGTCAACTAACTATAGTTTATCAATTGAAGGATGGTGATTAACACATAGCTTTGAATCAGATGCTTCTAGATACCAAACTCTCTTTCTCTTTCCTCTGTATTTATATCTTTCCACCACGGCACTTTGTAGCAACATGCAGTCTGTGACATACTGTACAGGGAACACCAAGGCTTGGCAAAGCTACTGTAAAATCAGAGTAATTTAATTATTCTTAAAAGTCAGATAAGGAAATAATCAGTTTCTCATGGACACAGAGATTTAGATATAGGTTGCATTGCCTTCCTCGATCTTGAGAGAGTTTGTCTTTCAGATACCTCAGTACCATAAAGGATTGTGCAAAGAACTTTTTCTCTCTAGTTCAAAGCACAGTTCAGGGTGATGCCATTGGTTCAGTAGAATCCTACATGGCTTTGAGCAAAGGTTAAGAGGCCAGTTTCCCTTTCTATGTTGTTCCTTGGCAATTGGAGTTCTTTAGAGTGTCTGAAGGCATTGTTCCAAGTTTTAAGTATGTAGGAGCACATAAGTGAACAGGTTTATTTTCTTATTAGATTTTTTTGGTACTAGCAACAGAACTGATTATATGCAAAGGATATTCCTTATTTTCCCACTTAACAAAGCACTTCTATCTTTACTTCTTACCTCTTTTCCCTGTTGATCTCAATTGCATCTGTCTTGTTAAGTTACAAGCACTTACCTTTGCAAAGGAGGCACAGTCTACAAAAACAGTAAATGAGAGTAGTTAAGTCAATAGAGAACAAGTTGATAAATCAGGATAAAAAAGGTGATGAAGCTGTTGAGTCTGACAATTATTTTATTTGGGCTTTTCAGTCGTGTGGACACAATTGTGTATTCCTGCCAAGTGGACAGGTTTTATCAAATGAAGTGATGAAATCATTAAAAGGGAACTGGAAGTTCCAGCCTTGGAACCAGAAACACTTTTCAAGCTTTTTTTTTTTTTTTTTTTTTTTAAAGAAGAAGAAAAAGAAATGTAAAGCCTTAGCAAGGCACAGAGCCAATTTGGTACTAATATTCCCATGGAAAAGGTATTGAAAGCTATGTTTGCTGCTAGGAAGATGATATGTTTCAATTTATGTTTCTACTTAGTTGTACAGTTGTCCAGCTGAATTCCTTCTGCTTTCTGAAATGTTGTTATGTAGTATCTAAAAAATAGTCCAGTATCTTGGTAAATACATAAATTCCATTGGTTAGCTAGAAATGAATAAAAGTAGGAGCCTGTCTTTACACAGAGGCATAGCACTATATTAACACTACAAAGAACTGCTGTTTGCAGTGCATAGAATATCCACTTAAAAAGGCATTAACTCCTTCACAAATCTTCAGGTGTGGATCAAAACAGACAAGAGTTTTCGGAAAAAAATATTCTGTGTTAGTCTGTATTTGAGCATGTCTGTTGTGGGGTTCCCCTGAAAGTGGAGGAGCAGAGTCATCGTTGGCTACTGCAGGTAACAGATCATAGCAAATAAACCTCACTTCACAAAGAGGGATCAGCAGATTCCCTGAGCTTGTACCCTCCACTCATAACAAATCCAGACATACTCCCTGTTGTGTGGTTTTCTTGTTAGATGGAAAAAAACGGAGAATTTGCCTAACACTAAGAGCAAAAAAGTATTTGAAAACAAGTATCAGAATATTTCCTGACTTACTGGAAACAGTGGAACAGTTTCCATTGACCCAAAGTTAGATTTTTGCAGAATTAGTTTTCTTATTTTATTTTTTTCCTAGTTGTTCTTTTTGCTATGTTAGTTTTCTGCAAAATCCATTACATGTGCAAGGACTGTTAAGAGTTGTGAAATCTAGGAGCCCAATAGAAGCAAGGCTGCTGCAGCTCCATGTCTTCAGGTCCAGGCAACTGTGAGCCTCAGCACGTATCCCAGTAGGCACATGTGCAAACACATGTATACAAGTTGCACGCACACATTCTTTACGTACACACAGAGAAACGCTCCGTACCCTGGCAAACACAAACAGCACCCATATTCTCATCCTGATCTCCCCTCTGGCTGATCAGGATCAAGGCCCTTAGTGGTCTTACGCACTCACTCTGTCCAGTAACTCATCCTGCATCCCTGTTAACCTAGACTCATGGGCCATATGACCTGTAGTCCAGTTCCAGTTGCTTGCACTCATGCCTCCATATGCATATATCTGTACAGAACAGAGTCCATCACCAAGGACAAGTAGTTAGAAATGGAGTTTAATAAGACAGGGAAGACTGCAGTCATCAAATGTGGGTCAAGGTCAGACAAAAGTATGGACCAGCAGCTGTTTAACATGCAGCCAGCCCCTTTTATGCCTTTATCCATCCACTTTCTTATGCTTGTTCCTCATGAAACTACCTTAATCCTTCTCTTCTCCCACCTTTGGTTCCTCACCTAAAATTCCAATGATAAGTGAGTGATAAGTGAGTCTGTAGAATCCCAAAATGTTCTTCCCTAACACAGCACAAGGAGTTTCACAGAGTCCTGAAAACAGCAACCCACCTCAGTCTGTAAGGTGATCTGGTGAGCTGCTCCCTCTGGCTCATCTTGAAGGGCATCATCCCAAGACAATGGGATCTCTCTCCTGTGACAGCCCCAGGAATAGCCAGGTCAGGGTGCTCTGTTTCTCTGGTTTCCATCTGTATCATCTTTTTCCTGTGCACTTGCTTGCCCAATGTACCATTGAACTATCTTTAAAAGGAGAGTTATCTAACACAGAAGCCAACAGGTAAAAGGCAGATGTTAGGTGGCAAGGTGACTTTAAAAAAAAAAACAAAAAAACCCAGTCAATTGAAAAGAAACATGAGGGAAACCCTGCTCTCCAGTGGAATTTTAGGGCTCTAGCATGATATAGTCACACAGCTCTACATTAATTACTCTAAGGAGACACACTTAATTCTCTTGCTAGGGATCTTACCAGTAATGACATCTCACTAAACAACAATTTCAGTAATAAGGGAAAGTGAGTTAAAAAAAGCAATTGTCAGCACTGCCAAAGAGTTATTTATTATTATTATTTTTCTTTTTTCAACTTGATAGGTGTGGAAGTGGAATGTCGACCAGTAAGTACCAGACTGCAGTATAGGAATATCAACGGATGTGTGGCTGAAAAGGAAGTGCCTATTTCTCATTGTGAGGTAAATAACCAAAGAAATCACGTTGACCCGAGATCTGCCTTTGCCCCCTTCTCTCTTCCACAAGGGAAACCTTTGCCTCCATTATGGCTTCACTTCAGGAAGTGGAGGCACATCAGTTTATGTCCTTACTGATTCACTCAAACAGTGCAAAACTCACTTGCACTTGTTTCCTAAATTAATTTGGTGATCCTGAATTTTTCCTATTCAAGCCAGCATGGAAAAAGGCATATACTCCAGGGCATAAAGGCTTTGTTCATAGCACTGTCCTTTGCTTCCATCAGAAGCATATCTTTGTTCAGGCTCTGAAGGTGATTTATGAGAGTGTAAATAGTTATGTAGATATAAAGTTATCTAACTTTAACAGACATTTAAACTTGAGCACTATGATTTAACTTCTGTGCTCTGTAAGCTCTATGACTCCTCTGTTAGCCTGCACACTAAGCTGTTGTGTTCTGCATGTCTTGTGCATTTGTTTCATAATCAGATTAAAAGTTTAATTTCCTGCCCATCACTGCTTGTACCTTATAGAGCAACTGCTATTTGAAATAGGAGCATGGCTTCCCTTCTGGATGTTCTCATCTCTCTCATACTGGGAACCAAAGATGATATTCTCTTCCCAGACTGGGTTGTAACAGGACAACTGCTCAATCTGAGATAACCATGTTTCACACAAGGATTTTATACAACCCTTGTACACAATCCAAACTATGGCATACAAAGATGGCAGTAAAGAAGATGGCTTGCACCCAACCCCTTGAGTATTCCCTTTAGTTAAGACAGTAGGCAAAATGAATTTCTATCTTTCCCATGGCTACTGAGAAAAGAATGGGAATTGAGAGAAGTACTGAGATTGTACACACCCAGGCTTTTCAGATAGCTACTTGGCGAAGGGCCTTCAATTACTTCACATGTCTCAATAAGATTGGAAGCTTTAAGAACAACAATAAAAACACTTACACTTCATTAAAAAAAGAAAAAAAAAAAAGACCTCTCTTCCTGTCCACAAAGTCAGTGATAATCAGGTCTTTAGCCATAAAGTCATTTGTATTGAAGTTTCCCCTGCAAAAGTAGAGATTTTGTTTTGCTAATCTGACTGTATATTGAGAAAACTAAGTACTCTTGCTATAGCTGGTATTGAGTACAGTTTTCTCTAAAGTCCTCCCTGATAATGCTATGCAATTTTTTTGTATTAATCTCAGAAATAAGAGTGCAGAGCTACAAAAAGACTGACAGAATTTGATGTGGGGGCTGTTAGTTTTTACCTCATAAAAAGATATAGCTACGAACATTAACAGCTTGGTCTGAGTTAGTAGAGTGGACAGACAAGTAGAACAAGGAAAAATAGCAACCAGCAGGACAACAATGAATGTGTGGCTTGCCACATTTGGGCTAAAGCACTTTCTGAATCCATTATATCATACAGCTGAGGCAATAACCATATGTGCTTAGAAGCCAACACACATGACCTGTGATATCTTAAATTATAAGCTTTTTTTGTGTGACCAGCTCCTTCACCTCTCCTTTGGTATGCTTTTGCTCATGACATTACTCTTGGACCATCACCCTACACTCCATAATAAGATACCTGTTTCTGAATTTGTGGTTTAAAGCAGAGCACTGAGCTCCAGGTGAAGTCATCCATGGATGTTTTGAAGTAAAGAACCTGGATTCTGATCGCACTGAGATCTTGGCACTGTTCAAACTTGGTCTATCTTTTTTTTCAATTTAGGGCAAGTGCAGAAGCAATACCAGATACTCTGTTCAGACAGGGAAATGGGAAGATGTGTGCAGCTGCTGTACAGCCACTCAAACCACCATAGTCACGATCCCCCTCCGGTGTGCCAATGGGACAGTGGTGCAGCATTACATCCCTTCTGCCTCTCACTGTGAATGCTATTCTCGCACGTGTACAGACTGAATATTTGCAAGAAGCCCACTTGTTTAATCTCAAGTTTTATGATGAGGGAACTTTACAGTGCAAGCCTCATTTTCTCTCTGTAGACTGTTTTATCCAGTAGAGTCCTGACTAACTAATTGTATCAACATAGCAAACAATAAAACTTACTAGCACAACGGAGCATTTTCTGATTATTCTTGGCGTGGTTTATAGAAGAGATATTGCAGATTGTGTTGTTTCCCTTCATCTTCACCATGGAAAGTAATTCACGTTATTTAGAAAACCCCCCAACCTAACAACAACAAAAATCTCCAAAACAAAACAAACAAACAGCAAACCCACAACATAGTAACAGAAACAGTTGCTTCTACTTAAAGAACACATACCAAAGCATTTTGCACTGTCTTCAGAGACATTACACTTGCATTCCCCACTTTAGTGACACAGTGCAGACTTTTAGGTTTTTGGTCTTCTTTTCTCCTCCAGTCAGGGATTACAGTGATTATGGCATAAAACTTCATAGTAAGAGGGTGATGTCCTTGGTACACAAACAATACTGGTTATGGCTCAGGCAACCAAATAGCCTTCTACAATGCATATACATCTTCCTCATGAAGCTGAATGCAAAGAAATTTTGTGCTGAGGGAAGGCTGTGTAACTTCTGCAAGTCCTCAGTACTTGTGAACAGGGCTGAAGGACAGCTCTTGCCTATTTACTTCAGTGCTTCCACAGAGTGATTTGAAGAGGATGCTCATCAGTAATATCCCTTATTTCCTTATTATTTATTTCAGAACTTCATCTGTTGCATTAGCTACAAAAGTAAGAATTCTTTCAAATGCAGAATTGGCAGTGACAGGTTTAATTTAGTTACTGCTGCCAGGTATAAATTTAGCAGGATTTAAAAATTCCATTAGTCTGGTCAGACAATGGAAGACAACAGATTTTCCAGAGGCTTGTTGGTCCTGGTGGAATCTAGCGCTAGTCAAGCAGTTTCACTGGGAAGTACTAATTTCTCAAAAATATGAGGGAGAGAAAACTGGTCATTCCATTTGCATTTTTGAAACATAAGAAATATTTTAAATTCTCATTGAATTAACTTTTTAAAAATAATATATAAAAAATCTGATATAGGATGTGTTTTTTTTTTTTTTTTAAAAAGCAGCTCCAAATTTCCATATGTTTGTGATGGAATCACTAACCCTTAGAGATAGGTTATGGGTGAAAAAAAACATAGTTTCTCCACCTCTAGCAGAATTGTTCTTGAACCAGTGAAACACATACTTATAGAGAAGTCCTGAAGGGAAAAAGTGCTCCTGAGAAGCCTAGCAGAAGAGGTCAGGAAATCACATTATCCTTGTGCAGTTTTAGGGTTAGCATCTGCAGAAATGGAAGGCATTTCAGAAGACATTGTCAGCATTGCCCCTGGGTAATGGGGAGGAAAGTTTTGAGATGAAGAGCTATTGCTCTCCACATGAATGCCAATGTCACATGAGTAAACAGATCAAAACACCCCCCCATCTACATGAATGGCTCACTTTGGGAGCAAACAAAAATGTCCCTCTGTGCTTTCAACTAAAAAGGCAAGTTGTATTCCTTTTTGAGAGGAAACAGGCAGAACCCTGCTTCTTTTGCCATTCAGCTGTGGATTCAACACACATTGAATCGTAGGCCTTTTTTTCCCTTGTTATTAACTGAAGACATCTTCTATTGCTGGACAGTGCTAGGAGAAGCGCAGGCCTTCTATGTATCTTCTGCTATGGGACCACAATAACCCCAGGGAGAGCAACAAAGTTTTAATTGGCACCGGTGCCACTTAATGCAGTAGATCTCTGTCACCAGTTTTCCTCCATCCTCACACAAGAGCCTCCTTGTTGTAGTTGGCTCTGGATATCCAGCTCCCTGACAGATGGGTTTGGGTCACCCAGGTAATCATCTGCACAACAGCTCATCTGAAGCTACAAATAAGAAACTCCTGGAACAGCAGCCTGCAACATCAGAGAGAACCAGAGAAAAGGAGTGGGTAGGGGGTAAAAGGTAATAGCTTCCTGTTCTTACCATCACTGGACTGCCCCTTTGTTTCCATCAGTGCCCTCAGTCAGACTGACCTTTCTTAGCTTATGGAAGCTGACAGGATTGCAGCCTAAGGCTTCATGGCTGCAGATAGGTCTTCTAATCAGATAAATATATGAGTCAGGCACCAGCTTATCAGCATGGGGAGGACACACAGGAGCATCCACAGGGGAAGAGATGGAGATACAGTTTTCTGGAACTTCTGAAAAGCAGACAGGCACAGCTAGTATTTTCCACCAGCAACAAAGTCATGGACTGATCTGTCCTACAAACAGTCAAGCATTCCAGTTTTCATCACTTCTACCTCAATTAACAAGAAAAATCTTGTGGATCTAAGTGCCTCAAGAGAGAAACAAACTAAAATAAAGGTATCTACTTTCAGAGTAGAGCAATTAGTATTTTTCCCTAAGGATCTCCAGATTATTTATTGAAAAACTGCCTGGATATAGATCAAACTCATAGCAGAGGTAGCTCAGTATAGTTGGACAAACAGAACTGTATTAAGACTTTACACCAGCTCAAGAATATGTCCCATACTATATGGCTTTTCCTCACCTTCCTTAGGTGAGTTGCAATTTTGCTTTCAGGCATCCATGCCAGTGTATGGACTAAAGTGAGTGCACAATATCTCCCATGAGAACTTACCAGGTTTTCTTACAGAATAAGATTCTGTGGACTTCTATATGGTCTATATGATATTATTCAGGCCTGGCTAGTACCTATATATTCCAAACAAAGACAAGGCCCTGTTGCACTCAAGGCCAGGAGCTTCTTCCTTGAAAATCCTCTCACAAACAGACAAGTGGGAAAGAGCAAGAGGAAGGGAATATTATAATGTCGCCCTTAACAGAGTGAGAAGGTGCATAAATTTTTGGCCTTCATCTCCTGGCATGAGTATCAAACTTTTTCAGGCAGCCTGTCCCAAAAGAGCTGTATTTCATCTAAGGCTGTAGTGGTGCCAGTATGGCAATGGGCTAGGACTTACTCCATGTGGGTTTCAATTGCCTCTCACACAACCCACTTTTATTTAGTGCAACTCTACAACATTCAGAAGCATTCTTTCCCTGCAGAAGTGAACAACATAATCAAGCCTATAAGCTTAGTAGAAAGCTGTGTACTTTAAGAGTAGTAGTGTGCCAGCACATTAGACAGTGCTGTACTTCACACTGCCTCATTGACATTCACCAGCAGAATCCAGGCTTTGAGGAACATTATTTTTCAACTTGTACATACTGCTTGTGAGTCTTGATGGTTTTGAGCTAAGCTCTTTGTCTTTCTACCAATGACTCTGAATGCATCCCACCAATTCATAAGACCAACTGGATTGCTGGGCGTGCCACAGGATAGATTTACAGGAACATTAAATGGATTTGGGGAGGAGTCTTATATAACGTCTTAATTATTAAAAGCATCTAATCTCTCTGCTAACTTTTACAGACTTGCAAGCACCACTCCTCTACAGCAGTTGAAACACAATCTGGTATATTGGTATTATATGTCACAGCTCTGTATTATCAACTAACACCATACCCAGGTACCTCAGGAAAGACAGTGATGCCAAGATATGATTTTCTCCATTGGAAAGCATTCTTAAAAATAGACTACAGACCCAGTTCCATTTTAACCAGCTGGATATTGCTTCCTATCATATTGCCTTTTGTGTATATTATTTATTACCTAAGCTAACTGTATTACCTGTAATGGACCCATCCTTATGGCATATAGGAGCTAGTAATTTGAACCCATACAGGCAGAGCTTTGTGTCCACAAGGGATCCCGGCAGGACCTGGCTCTACATTCCTATACTATTCCAAATTTAGTGAGTATCCCTTTCTGTTTTAGCATTTAGTTGGTGCAGCATATAATGTGGATATAAAATAGCATAATTTTGAACAAGTTTTCATTCCCCTCTCCTAGAGATAAGTGTATACAAAGTAGTAGGTTTGCTTTCAATCCAGGAGGAGATTAAGTGGTTGTAAAACATCAAGGCAAAAAGCAGTTCAACAGTTGCTGTATTCTCTGATCCCACGTTGTTAGAAAAAAGTTACCAGGAGCTCTGTGTGAGAGATTCCGCCATTGCCCTGTACCAAGTATGAACTACACTGAGATCTGTGCAACTGTGGACATTTGAGCACAGTGCTTAAGCAATGAGCAATTCATTTCTTCAAATGGATGAGGTGGTTATGCAAACAAACAAACAAACAAAAATATACCAGCACACTGAGTCAAAACTTGTATGCATGGGCTAGCGTGCAAATAAAAGCCTGTATGAAGTAGCATCCCCCCTGCTAGAGAGCTTACACACACTAACCGAGATTTTTTTTTTTTTTTCTTTCCCAAATTTCTGCAGTCTAACAGTCAGCCCAGGAGCTATGGAAGCTAGGTTGTTCCCTGTTTCGTAACTAGTCAGTTTTTTAATGAAGTTCTGAGATTACCATAAGAGACTAAAAGGTAAGAAGAACAAGTATTTGATACCTGTTGATACATTATTTAGAAATTAGGAAATACTATTACAAAGGAGAGACTAAGAGTGGGGCAATTTAGCTTTTGCTATCTGAAGACATTATTCTGTGTAAATACTAAAGCAAGTGTTAAAAAATTATTCTGTACAGTCAATGTACTCTTCTTCCCTGTATGCACAAAGGCAGACCCTAATCATTATTTTTCCCCTTTGTCAGGGGTAAATCAGTGCAGAAAAGTTTGACTGACCTGTATAAAGCTGTTCAAGATGGAGTCAGGGGTCCTGACCCCTCTCCCTTTTAAGTAAAATCAGATATATAACATTAGTGTAGGTTACACATAAAATTATTCATGTGGCACTTCAGCTGAGCTGAAGTAAACAAATGAACAGTCATCTAATTTAATCTCATTCTCTTTGGTCTGCCTTTATCTGTTTAGTTAAAAGGGCAACTACCTAGTAACAAGTTGTCCAGTGTTTAAAGCAGCATGTGTACCATGCTGGGAAAATTTTACAGCACCCAGCCCAAGTTTTGGGACACAAAGGCCACACTGCTCCTTGTATAAACTCAGTATCTTTGATAGCTTAACCACAGGGCACCAGCATGTCTCTCTGTGAGAGAACTGCTACTCTTGCTGGTCATGACACA